GGCAGGCGGACTCTCAAGCACTGCGCCACCAGGGAAGCCCTGTTGGAAGATTTTTAATCACAGTTTCAATTTTATTACTTGTGATTGGTCTGTTTATATTTTCTATTTCTTCCTGGTTCAGTCTTGGAAGGTTATACCTTTCTATGAATTTGTCCATTTCTTTCAGGTTGTCCCTTTTATTGGCATAGAGTTGCTTGTAGTAGTCTCTTAGGATGCTTTGTATTTCTGTGGCATCTGTTGTAAATTCTCCTTTTTCATGTCTAATTTTATTGATTTGAGTCCTCTCTCTCTTTTTCTTTTTCTTTTTTTTTTTTGCAGTACGCAGGCCTCTCACTGTTGTGGCCTCTTCCGTTGCAGAGCACATGCTCCGCACACGCAGGCTTAGCGGCCATGGCTCACGGGCCCAGCCGCTCCACGGCATGTGGGATCTTCCCGGACTGGGGCACGAACCCGTGTCCCCTGCATCGGCAGGCGGACTCTCAACCACTGCGCCACCAGGGAAGCCCTCCCTCTTTTTCTTGATGAGTCTGGCTAATGGTTTATCAATTTTGTTTATCTTCTCAAAGAACCAGATTTAGTTTTATTGATCTTTGCTATTGTTTTCTTTGTTTCTATTTCATTTATTTCTACTCTGGTCTTTATGATTTCTTTCCTTCTGCTAAGTTTGGATTTTGTTTGTTCTTCTTTCTCTATTTCCTTTAAGTGTAAGGTTAGATTGTTTATTTGAGATTTTTCTTGTTTCTTGAGGTAAGCTTGCACTGCTATAAACTTCCCTCTTAGAACTGCTTTTGCTTCATCCCGTAGTTTTTGGGTCATCCTGTTTTCATTGTCATTTGACTCGAGTTATTTTTTGATTTCCTCTTTGCTTTCTTCAGGGATCTCTTGGTTATTTAGTAACGCATTGTTTGGCCTCCATGTGTTTGTGTTTTTTACGTTTTTTTCCCTGTAATTCATTTCTAGTCTCATAACGCTGTCGTGAGAAAACATGCTTGATATGATTTCAGTTTTCTTAAATTTACTGAGGCTTGATTTGTGACCCAAGATGTGATCTATCCTGGAGAATGTTCCATGCACACTTGAGAAGAATGTGTAGTCTGCTGTTTTTGGATGGAATGTCCTGTAAATATCAATTAAATCTGTCTGATCTATTGTGTCATTTAAAGCTTGTGTTTCCTTATTAATTTTCTGTTTGGATGATCTGTCCATTGGTGAAGTGAGGTGTTAAAGTCGCCCTCTATTCCTTTGTTACTGACAGTTTCCTCCTTTATAGCTGTTAGCAGTTGCCGTATGTTTTGAGGTGCTCCTATGTTGGGTGCATATATATTTCTAATTGTTATATCTTCTTCTTGGATTCGTCCCTTGATCATTATGTGGTGTCCTTCCTTGCCTCTTGTAGCATTCTTCATTTTAAAGTATTTTGTCTGATATGAGTATTGCTACTCCAGCTTTCTTTTGATTTCCATTTACATGGAATATCTTTTTCCATCCCCTCACTTTCAGTCTGTATGTGTCCCTAGGTCTGAAGTGGGTCTCTTGTAGACGGCATATATATGGGTCTTGTTTTTGTATCCATTCAGCAAGCCTGTGTCTTTTGGTTAGAGCATTTAATCCATTCACGTTTAAGATAATTATCGAAATGTGTTTTCCTATTACCATTTTCTTAATTTGGGGGGGCTTGTTTTTCTTGGTCCTTTTCTTCTCTTGTGTTTCCCACTTAGAGAAGTTCCTTTAGCATTTGTTGTAGAGCTGGTATGGTGGTGCTGAGTTCTCTTAGCCATTGCTTGTCTGTTAAGCTTTTGATTTCTCCATCGAATCTGAATGAGATCCTTGCTGGGTAGGGTAATCTTGGTTGTAGGTTTTTCCCTTTCATCACTTGAAGTATCTCATGGCACTCCCTTCTGGCTTGTAGAGTTTCTGCTCAGAAATCAGCTCTTAAATTTATGGGAGTTCCCTTATATGTTATTTGTCGTTTTTCCCTTCCTGCTTTCAGTAATTTTTCTTTGTCTTTAATTTTTGCCAATTTGATTAATATGTCTCTTGTCTTGTGTCTCCTTGTGTTTATCCTGTATGGGACTCTCTGCGCTTCCTGGACTTGGGTGGCTGTTTCCTTTCCCATGTTAGGGAATTTTTCAACTATAATCTATTCAAGTATTTTCTCGGGTCCCTTCTCTCTCTCTTCTCCTTCTGGCGCCCCTATAATGCGAATGTTGTTGTGTTTAATGTTGTCCCAGAGGTCTCTTAGGCTGTCTTCATTTCTTTTCATTCCCTTTTCTTTATTCTGCTCCACAGCAGTGAATTCCACCGTTCTGTCTTCCAGGTCACTTATCCGTACTTCTGCCTCAGTTATTCTGCTATTGATTCCTTCTAGTGTAGCTTTCATTTCAGTTATTGTATTGTTCATCTCTGTTTGTTTGTTCTTTAATTCTTCTAGATCTTTGTGAGACCTTTCTTGCATCTTCTCAATCTTTGCTTCCATTCTTTTTCCGAGGTCCTGGATCCTCTTCACTATCATTATTCTGAATTCTTTTTCTGGAAGGTTGCCTATCTCCACTTCATTTAGTTGTTTTTCTGGGGTTTTATCTTGTTCCTTCATCTGGTACATAGCCCTCTGCCTTTTCATTTTGTCTGTCTTTCTGTGAATGTGGTTTTTGTTCCACAGGCTGTAGGATTGTAGTTTTTTTTGCTTCTGGTGGATGAGGCTGTCTCAGAGGCTTTGCAGGTTTCCTGACGGGAGGCTGTAGGATTGTAGTTTTTTTTGCTTCTGGTGGATGAGGCTGTCTCAGAGGCTTTGCAAGTTTCCTGACTGGTGATGGGTAGAGTTCAGTAAAACTTTAATCTGCTTCTCTACTGATGGGTGGTGCTGGGTTTCCTCCCTGTTGGTTGTTTGGCCTGAGGCCGCCCAACACTGGAGCCTACTCAGCTCTTTGGTGGGGTAATGGCGGACTCTAGGAGGTCTCCCACCAAGGGGTACTTCCCAGAACTTCTGCTGCCAGTGTCCTTGTCCTCACAGTGAGCCACAGCCACACCCTGCCTCTGCAGGAGACCCTCCAACACTAGCAGATAGGTCTGGTTCGGTCTCCTATGGGGTCAATCCTCCTTCCCCTGTGTCCCAGTGCACACACTACTTTGTGTGTGCCCTCCAAGAGTAGAGTCTCTGTTTCCCCCAGTCCTGTCGGAGTCCTGCAGTCAAATCCCACTAGCCTTCAAAGTCTGATGCTCTAGGAATTCCTCTCCCATTGCTGGACCCCCAGGTTGGGAAGCCTGACGTGGGGCTTAGAACCTTCTCTCCAGTGGGTGGACTTCTGTGGTATAAGTTTTCTCCAGTTTGTGAGTTACCTACCCAGCAGTTATGGCATTTGATTTTATTGTGATCGTGCCCCCACTACTGTCTCATTGGCTTCTCATTTGTCTTTGGATGTGGGGTATCTTTTTTGGTGACTTCCAGTGTCTTCCTGTTGGTGATTGTTCAGCAGTTAGTTGTGATTCCGGTGCTCTCACAAGAGCGGGTGAGAGCACATCCTTCTCCTCTGCCATCTTGAACTGATCTCTGCATAACCATCATTTTTAAATGAGAAATTCAGTCCCAAGTGATTAACCTAACGCTATATAAGTAATTTACATCTATTTTATAGAGTTAATTTTACTATGACTTTTAATAATTCTAGCTTTAAAATTCTAGCTTTAAAATTCTTCAAGAATACTGTGATAATCTGTGGTGTTTATAGTAAAACAATAATGTTTTTAAATATAGCCGGGGATAAGTAGTGTTTATAAACACTACTAAGAATATGCAAGTTATAGGTAAATGGTACAGAAGAACTCTAAATATAAAAATTCACAATTAAAAATTGGTTTTATCAATTTTTTGTCATTAAATCGAAACATAATTTTTGAAATAAAGGCAAATATTGAAATATTTAATGTAATTGAAGAGTGAAGTAAGTAAAAGTGTATAAGTGTTCATAATATTTAATTTTTTCAGTGTTGTTCCCTCTCAAGTTGGATGATTATTAGAACAATCCCTAATCTTTAGAATAAATTCAAACATTATATTTAGAGATATTTAGCATATTTCTTACCTCTGTTTTGGTGATGTAGACAATGTTTTTTTGTTCTGCTTTTTTTTTTCTTAAATAGTGTATTAAAAAAGTTATCCTGGGTTTGTCTGTCTATGGTGATACTCACTCATGCCTTAAAAACACTCCATAGAAATTGGGATTGGGAGTCTGAATATACGCTGTTTATGTCAGCCTTGAAGGTAAAGTATTATTCAGAATATGTCATCAATTATTTCTTATAGCCATCCCTGATACAGTGTTTTAACTTTACTTTTAACTAGGCAGTTAACTGTCAATGTTAAGTACTTTACCACAAAATTAATAAAAAGAATTTTTTCTTTGTATAATATATACCATAACTAGTGCCCTGACTAGTGCTTAGGTGTATATCTAGAGCATATGTGAATAATTGCACAAATGCTATACCGTTGTTAGACACTCAAATGATAAAATGTTTAAATATGAATGCTTTTGTTTCATTGGTTCTTAAGGTGTACCTTTTTATTTATTTATACCTTTTAACATCTCTGAAATCAGAATAAATCTTACAGTAAAAGGCATTTTACAATTAGTTAGTGACCTTTTTTCTTTCTTAATGGTACCTAAAATAATGGTGAGCCTTATAATTGATGGCATCTTAGATTGAATGAAATAAAATACATGGCAAAAAATGGTGCCCTTCCATATGGAGAATAACCAATGGTTCTAATACTGTAGGAAAGATAGGAACTGACAGAAAGGAGTGATACTGCATTTTTCTAGAATGGACAGCATAAATGAGAATAAGTCACAAAATTTGTTTTCTGCAAAAGTTATAAGCAGTGATTTTTTTTCAGATGCTCCCTCTCTTCAAATCTCTAAATTCTTAACTTCCTTTTGGCTGTTTCTGTGCTCGCCAGGGTTCCCATTACCATAATAGACTACGTAAATAGCTTTATTTTGAGCCTCAAAATAAGTCATCAGTGCAGTGTTTAAACATATTCACTTGTTCAAATTCTGTCTTTCCCAAAAGAACATAAATAATAGAGCAGGAGTTTTCAAACAGTTCTGTTTTGGTGAAATAAAAGTTTTAGTAAAATTTTAATATGTAAAGTAGATAAACTGTGGTTTTAGTATTTTAATGTTGAAAGGGAGGAGAGGGTAAATTTCATGAAGCAGTGTTCTTTTGACTTCTTCCTTATCTCCATGGAACACTCCATTCCTAATAATATACCAAACACATATCCATGTTGATTGGAGTTGTATGTATACATGCACAGACACATATATATACACATTTTTTTTCTGGAAGAAATTGGAATGATTATTTTCCAGTTTTATTGAGATATAGTTGACATATAACTTTGTCTTTAAGGTGTACAATATAATGATTATATGCATGTGTGTGTGTGTGTGTAAAATGACTACCAGAATAAGTTAACATCCATCACCTCATATAGTTACAGTATTGTTAACTATAGTCACCATGCTGTACATTACATCCTCAGATCTTACTTATCTTAAAGCTAGAAGTTTGTACCTTTTTACCCACTTCATCTGTTCATGGACATTTCTATGGAGTACTCCATTCCTAATAGTATACCAAACAAAATCTGTGTTAATTAGACTCATTTTTTTTAATTCAACTAATTTCTATCTGTACTTCCATATTTAAGGTAAATAAAAATAATGCCAAATTATGGAATAATGTGGGTCATGCTCTGGAAAATGAAAAGAACTTTGAGAGAGCTTTGAAATACTTCTTACAGGCTACCCATGTTCAGCCAGGTAAGCATTATTAACTAATAAAGCTATTGTGGTAGTTTATTTTCTTTTTAAAAACATGATTATATTTGCAGAAAATAGGTAGAGTTTATTTTCAAGCTTTATTCCAACTGACTGGAATGGTACAGTGTTTGGTGCTGGCTTATTTTTGAATTGGATTGTATGTTAGAGCTATTTACATCAGACATTTAAGGAGTCTTTTTTAAACAGAGTTGTTGGGTGGCATTGATGAGCAATTTTGGTGAAGGGATAGATGCAAACGCTTGATAGTAGTGAGTTTAAGAGAGTGGGAGAAGAATAATTGGAGACAGTTGATATTAAAAACTCTTTTAGAGCGTGTTGATAAGAAATGTTGGTGCTGAGTATGGGGTCAAGAGAGGATAGTAGGATGATGTTTTTTTTTGTTTTTTTGGGAATTTGGGGGGTTTTGTTTTAAGGTGAGAGAAACAAAGCATGTGTGTGACTAATCCATTGAAGCTGGGAAAAATAATAATTCAAGGTGGGGAACCGAAGTACTGGGTCAATGTCCTTGAACAGATGAGAATAGATAAATAGGATCTAGTGCTCAGGGTGAGGATTTCATTCAGTCAACTGAACCAACAGTTAACCTGTGGTAACAGGGAAAGCAGAGTGTAGAGACATGATATAGGCAGGTGAATAATAGATGAATAGCTTCTGGAAGTTGTCCTTTGCTTCTGTTTTCTCAGTGAAACAGAAAGTAAAATCAATAGTAGAGTGTGGGGAATGGAGAGGAAGTGCTAGAAATCTAAGACCAGGAGAGGGTCTGAAGTAATCATTTAGGACATAGCTTCACAAACTTAAATGTACCTGTAAATCACCTGGAGATCATATGGTTCATGTTCTGATATATAGAGCTTTAGAGTAGGGCTTGAATTTCTGCATTTCTAGTAAGTTCCTAGGTGATACTTAGCCCATGAATCACGTGTTGAGAAACAAAGATCTAGGAAAATGTATAGAGTAGGAAAATATGGTATGACTGTCAAGCAGCTCTAACACCCTACTTGAGCTTAGCAATACTTAATTACAATTAAACCAGTTGATGTGGTTAAAAGTTTTCTCCCACTACTTTATAAGTGCAGTGGTACAGGCATGGAGAATTTGGTTAAACAGGATTAGAATTTTGTCAGATGTGTATTACTAAACAAAGGGATAAGGGAATATTGAGACACAACCTAAGCTGGTTATGAAGAGATGTGAGAAAGGATGAAAGATGAGGAAAAGGTGGTCAGATCAGTCGTTTATAGATCTGAAAAATTGTTGGTGTCTGAGTAGGGTCTAGCTAGAGCATTTTTAGTTTTCAGTGTTCCAGGATATGTACCAAATGTGGCCGCCACCTACCAAGTACAATCATTAGTTTCCATTCAGTATGATGACCAAAAAGTACTTCCCCACACACACATTTCTAAATGTACTCGGAGGGGTGGGGAGTGGTGGGCAGTGCCTGCTGTATTTAGACTAGATATGATTGTGGCCATTGAACTGACTAGTTAAAGGAGAATGGAGGTGAAAATTATTGGAAGAAAGGCAACTATTGGAAGATAGATCTATACAGATTTTGAAATTACTAAGAATTTTGACAACTGTGTGATGTTGGAAAGAACAACAAGGAACCAGGAGCTATATATGAGATTGGTGACTGCAATAAGGAAGGGTAGTGGATAATAGAGTTTAATGATCTGAAATTCAGAGTTGAGAGATTTTAAGGAATTACAGTGGTCTGGAAGTGGTAAGGATCAAGGAGGACACCTAACTCCAAGGCCCAGTGTTGCAAGAGATAAGAAAAAGACCACAGTCACCACTTGGAAAAGCTGCCAGTGTCCCCAAGGCAAAGCCAAATTCCTGTTAGAGAATGTTGTAGAAATATATAACTGATGGTCTAGCTATCTTTCCAATTTTATCTCTCCTGGCTCTTCATGTGGTTTAGTTTTTCTTGAAATCTAGGGTACATGTCATGAGCTTCCTCACCTCTTTGCATTTGTTCATGTTCTTCCTTGAGCCTAGAATTCCTCCCTTCTCCTTTCCTTCCCATCCACCTTCTACCATACCCTACCGATCTTTTGTAACCCATCTCACATGGCTTTTCTAAACAAAACAAAAAAAAACCCTCCTATCTTTCCAGTTAGAAGCAAATATTTCTCCTCTTTAAGACTCCTTACAACTTTTGTATCTTTTCTGTGATATTTGTTATTTAAATGTTCATTTAAAATATTTATTTATTTAAAGTATCTATGTATTTAAACTGAGGAGCTTCCTAGGGGCAGCATGAACATCTGATTCATCTTCATAGGCCCTGCATCATCTAGCATAGTCTTACACACAGTCAGTGGTCACTAACTGTGGCAGTTTCAGTTCATTGCTTTCTGAAGCCTTTTAGGTTCATTCTGGAAGTTTTTAAAAAAAGAAGCAAAGTCATCTTTATGTCAGACACACAGGGACCTGAAGACTTAGAAGACGATATTTAGGCCCCTTCAGCCCTATCTTTCCCATTTCTAAGTTGGGACAGTAATTTCTATCTCATTGTATTGTTGTCAGGACAAAATGAAATCGTGTTGGTGGGTGGGTGTGATTGTGGATGTTTAGTTTAAAATCATTTTTCCTCATTGTCAGTTGTCACTTTTGGCTGTTTTTAAGATACTTACTTGAACCTATCTCCTTTAGTTAGTATGACTTACCTACCATACTCTCAAAATTGCAGTCTCTAATAGTGGGCTAGGAAAACAGGCAAGTCATTTTATTACAATTTATTATGAAAAAGTACATAATCTTGGAAAAATTGAATTTGTCATTCAGAGACTTCTTGGCTCATTCTGTGTTTTTTAGCTGTGTTCTTCATAGATAGATTTGACAGCTAAAACGACATGTAAAGAAGGAAATCAAGAGTCTTTTTTATCCCTGTTAGATATACAGATGGAGATAGAACTATAAGTCTGGAGATAAGGGGAATGGTCAGGACTAGAGATAAAAATTTGAAGGAACAAGCATATAGATGGTATTTAAAACCCTAGAACAGTATAGGATCACAGAGAGCAGAGATTCTTAACATTTAAAGTAGCTTAAAAAAAATAAAAGACATTCAGTCTGAAGGCTTTTTTTGCTTAGCCAGAATAAGAATATAAACTATACAGTGGTCTTTGACCAGGTGACATGAATGTCATGTTAGACAAACAGTTGATTACAGTCTTTTGTTTGTTTTGGTTGTTACAAGTTTTTGTTTGTTTGGTTGGTTTTTTATTATTATTATTTTTTACATCTTTATTGGAGTATAATTGCTTTACAATGGTGTGTTAGTTTCTGCTTTATAACAAAGTGAATCAGTTATACATATACATATGTTCCCATATCTCTTCCCTCTTAACATCTCCCTCCCTCCCACCCTCCCTATCCCACCCCTCCAGGTGGTCACAAAGCACCGAGCTGATCTCCCTGTGCTATGCAGCTGCTTCCCACTAGCTATCTACCTTACGTTTGGTAGTGTACAGATGTCCATGCCTCTCTCTGGCTTTGTCACAGCTTACCATTCCCCCTCCCCATATCCTCAAGTCCATTCTCTCATAGGTCTGTGTCTTTATTCCTGTCTTACCCCTAGGTTCTTCATGACATTTTTTTTCTTAAATTCCATATATATGTGTTAGCATACGGTATTTGTCTTTCTCTTTCTGACTTAATTCACTCTGTATGACAGACTCTAGGTCTATCCACCTCATTACAAATAGCTCAATTTCGTTTCCTTTTATGGCTGAGTAATATTCCATTGCATACATGTGCCACATCTTCTTCATCCGATGATGGACACTTAGGTTGTTTCCATCTCTGGGCTATTGTAAATAGAGCTGCAATGAACATTTTGGTACATGACTCTTTTTGAATTATGGTTTTCTCAGGGTATATGCCCAGTAGTGGGATTGCTGGGTCACGTGGTAGTTCTGTTTGTAGTTTTTTTTTTTTGTTTTGGGGGTTTTTTTTTTGCGGTATGTGGGCCTCTCACTGTTGTGGCCTCTCCCGTTGCGGAGCACAGGCTCCGGACATGCAGGCTCAGCGGCCATGGCTCATGGGCCTAGCCGCTCCGCAGCATGTGGGATCTTCCCGGACCAGGACACGAACCCATGTCCCCTGCATCAGCAGGCAGACTCTCAACCACTGCACCACCAGGGAAGCCAATTTGTAGTTTTTTAAGGTATCTCCATACTGTTCTCCACAGTGGATGTATCAGTTTACTTTCCCACCAACAGTGCAAGAGGGTTCCCTTTTCTCCACACCTTCTCCAGCATTTATTGTTTAGAGATTTTTTGATGATGGCCATTCTGACTGGTGTGAGATGATATCTCCTTGTAGTTTTGATTTGCATTTCTCTAATAATTAATGAAGTTGAGCATTCTTTCATGTGTTGATGGCAGTCTGAGTATCTTCTTTGGAGAAATGTCTGTTTAGGTCTTCTGCCCATTTTTGGATTGGGTTGTTTGTTTTTTTGTTATTGAGCTACATGAGTTGCTTATAAATTTTGGAGATTAACCCTTTGTCCATTGCTTCATTTGCAATTATTTTCTCCCATTCTGAGGGTTGTCTTTTGGTCTTGTTTATGGTTTCCTTTGCTGTGCAAAAGCTTTTAAGTTTCATTAGGTCCCATTTGTTTATTTTTGTTTTTATTTCCATTTCTCTGGGAGGTGGGTCAGAAAGGATCTTGCTGTGATTTATGTCATAGAGTGTTCTGCCTATGTTTTCCTTTAAGAGTTTGATAGTTTCTGGCCTTACATTTAGGTCTTTAATCCATTTTGAGCTTATTTTTGTGTATGGTGTTAGGGAGTGATCTAATCTCATACTTTTACATGTACCTGTCCAGTTTTCCCAGCACCACTTTTTGAAGAGGCTGTCCTTTCTCCACTGTACATTCCTGCCTCCTTTATCAAGGTTACAAGTTTTTTTAAAAAATCAATTCACAAGATAAAATTTTTGCAAATTGAATTACAGTTTCCATAAACACCTTTATAAAACGAGGGTAGGTTTTTCTCGAGAAACACCAGATTTCTCCAAGGTTTATTTTTGCCTTGAAATCAATGATTTCATTTTTATCTAACTTCAAATCTTTGAAACGAAAATAATCATGGACTTGTAGTTCAATTTTGATGCCATCATGGTAGAAATGATTTTTAGAGTTTTCAGGAGTTTCCAGACATTTATAAATATATCTTTTTAAATAAATTGACAGATTTGTGCATAGGAAATAACTGGAAAGCAACACATATGCCTGGGCCATCAGTGTGACAATACTTAACTTCACTGTTGGTGGCTGAAGAATTATTAGGCACAGAGTTGCCTGATATTTGCCAGTCCTCGTTTACATTGAATTAAAGACAGACTGCTAGATTCAGGCTGCTGTTGGTTTGGATAGGGCACTCATAATAGCAAGATTGTTTTTTGAAATTCTGTAGCTTTTTAGTCATTCAAATGTAATTGATTTTTATATCTTGCCTGCTTTCTTACCTTTTTTTTTTTTTCAAATATAGATTTACTTTACCAGTAATGCTGTTTCCTCCTAGAATCTTGAACTTTGTAACTTATTTTAAAAATTGCCTAAAAATTGTTTCATTTTATTAGCTGTGTTGTGTAGTTTTTTTTACGCTAAATGCTATCTAATTGCTATCTTTGTTCTTTGAGAAAGTAAGGGTGCCTTACTCTAGTGTCTGTAGTCTTCACTGATGACAGTATCTCCTTGCCATAGTTCTAAGAACCTGATTAGTAGATAGTAATTTGCCTTGTCTTTCATCCTAATGGATAACCTCTTTTCTAAGGTTGGTTGGGGCTCTTTTCAGTAACATTTTAAATACTTACCTGACATAATTTCACTTTTATTTACTTAAACTTTCAGTTTGTTCTTTTCTTAGATTAAATTTTTACTGTATAAATAATTTTTTCATGTTCTATATACCCTTAGTTTTTTCTGGGTAACTTTCTGATCTCTGTAGTAAATGGTATAGATTTATCTGATGTTTAAAAAAAAAGAGCTTAGATAAACAAGGTCCTATTATATATAGCACAGGGAACTATATTCGATATCCTGTGATAAACCATAATGGAAAAGAATAGGAAAAAGAATGTATATATGTATAACTGAGTCACTTTGCTGTACAGCAGTAATTAACACAATGCTGTAATTCAACTATACTTCAATAAAAAAAATTTTTTTAAAAGAGCTGTATAAGAGCAAAAACTCTATGTGCTCTTGGTAATGCAATGTATTTCAACCTTGGATCTACATCAGAATTGCCTCTGAAACTTTTTAAAAACATTTTTGCAATCCTATTCCTGAAGATTCTGTTTTGATCGAGGTGGGTAGGGTAAGGTATCTGAATTTTTCAAAGCTACACAAGTATTCTGAAATGCAGCCAGTATTGGGAAGCCTTTTTTCTTCTTTTCTTTTCTTCTTTTTTTCTTTTTTCTGGCTTGAGCGCCTCCTGAGACCCCATGAGATTCAGCAATATGTCTAAAAACAAGGAATCAACCTCTTTCCCCCAATCCTGTCCCCTAGTTCTCTAACTAAACCCATATGGCATCTAACAGTTTTTGTACAGTGCACACAATTGCCAACCTGAAACATAATTTAGCAAGATCTTAGGACTGTTACTCTCCTCCTAGAGGAATGCCTAAAATATATATGCTTGGCCCCTATGTGTCCTGGGAGTTGCAGGCAGAGAACTATTCCACAATTGCAAAATCATCATTGCTGTCACAGGCAAGTAGTAATCATAATTTGAAACCTTGTCATGTCTGTTAGAGATTCATGTTGAGTACAATTTGTCTAATTTAAGATCTCCCTTCTTTCTATCTTTATTCCAAACCTTTGAAATATTTACTGGGAAGTATATCTTAAAACTAGTGTGCAATGAACCCTCATATCTTTTTTATTTAAATTTTATATTTTTCTATCCCTGAATAAATTTGCTGAGGATTCGATATTAAGACAACCTTTTTAAAAGTTTTAATTAAATTATATGGGAATGTATCATCATTTAAGAGATCTGGGCTGCTGCATCTTAAGTAATATTATAGAATCCAGATAACTTGTACTCCAACCACATTCACAAAAATTTTTTTTTTTTTTTTTTTTTTTTTCCTTGCGATACGCGGGCCTCTCACTGTTGTGGCCTCTCCCGTTGCGGAGCACGGGCTCCGGACGCGCAGGCCCAGCGGCCATGGCTCACGGGCCCAGCCGCTCCGCGGCATGTGGGATCTTCCCAGACCGGGGCACGAACCCGTGTCCCCTGCATCGGCAGGCGGACTCTCAACCACTGCGCCACCAGGGAAGCCCACAAAAATTTTTAAAAACAAAGTCACAAAGTGTTTTTCACAGGCTCTTTGCCCCTATGCCACCATGGATTCATTTTTGTTATTTATAATACTTGAAATAATTCTAGTAATCATGGTGATCCTTTTCACTTGTAAATCCTGTTTGCTTTTGAGTGAATTTCAAAGCTATGAGATTAAGGAAATAGGAGTAAGCCTTAGTATAGGATAGTAAAATATAATGGAAAAAAAAAAGATGTAAATTTAATCATTACCTTTATTTCTCCCCTCTCATATCTTAACCCTTCCAGGAGCCATTCAAATAGTTTTTTCATGTCATATGTGTATTTTCTGTTCTTATGGTACTTTATTTAATAATTTTCTAGTGTAGCCTTGCTCATAAGTTATAATAAGTTGTGTTAGAAGAGCTTTAAGGAGGAAGCAGGACCTACTGCCTCCTTTTGCATTCTTTTGCTTTAGTGTGTTTGTTTCTAGAAACATGTCTTCTTAGTAGTTTACATTGAATGCTATTTAGTGTATTTGCCAACAAATGATTTTTTTTTAATTTTAGATGATATTGGTGCCCACATGAATGTAGGAAGAACTTATAAAAATTTAAATAGAACCAAAGCAGCTGAAGAATCTTACATGACGGCTAAGTCGCTGATGCCTCAAGTAAGTAGTCATAAATTATTTCTATTGTGTCATGTCTGCTAGATGTCCATATTGAAATTATCCGAATGGAAAATCCTTATCTATTCTTCAATTTGTTGATATTAAAAGTAAGTTGTCCAGTGAACCATCTATTATTGTAAGTGTTATAAAAGATTACATTCACTTTTATAGCTCACTTAATTAAAATTTATAGTCTGTGAAAACCAAATTATGATATTATGAATTTTAGATATTTTTGATTACAAGTTATTTATGAGTTAAGTGACTTTAAATGAAAAGAATTTTATTTATGTGCAGTAAGCACTAAATTCAACATTACTCCTATCAAGAAATAAATGAAGAAAACAAAGTGATAAAATGAGTGGATACATCTCTGTTGCTGTCTTGTGCCCATCATTTGCTATAATGTCACAAGTACAAGATTTCTTGGGTATCCACAATACAAAGTCAAAGTTAGAAAATCTGATACTGCCCTTGGCCAGCTAGCTGTGTGTAATCTGCAAAGATAGTTTACCCTGGGCTACAGTTTTCTCAATTGTAGTTTATATTAATACTGTATTAATAACAGTAGTAATATTGAAATGATTTGACAGTTTGCTAAATGTTTTAAAAACAGAGTTGGACCACATGATACATTAAGAATTATTTCAGTCCTAAGATCCTAAAGTTAAATTGTGTTCAGTAAAGATTTTTATCAGATATAATTTATTATGTTCATTGAGAATTTGGGTTCATATTATATATAATAACCTTTACTTTACCTGAATAATCAGTTAATTAGAGAATTTTATTTCCTAGCTCCACCAAACAAGTGAGGGTTTAGTATAGCTCTGAAGTAAAATTAACTACCCTGTTATCACAATCAGGAAATATTTTGCTGACAACATGAAAGCTGACACGGTGTAACAAATGCAGTAGACTGAGAGAAAAGATCCAAGTTCTATTCCTGGTCTGACTCAAACATACTAAGGGACCTTAGCCTCTAGAAGTTCTGATTTCTATGACTTTATAAAATAATACATATATAAAAATCTAACAGTAATCTGTTGAGCTGGCATGAATGAAAAAATACAACCTTCATTGCTACTAAACAATTATTTTACTTACATTTTGTGGATACTGCAGATTATTTCACATTTTTTATGTATTATTTTAGTATTGCAGTGTATCTTTTTATGTTCTATGTAAATTTTAAATAAAACACTAGGACTACTTCAGATTTTATTTGGTACTGAAATGTCAAATTATAAAAACCCCTTTTTTTTAACAGATTATTCCTGGTAAAAAATATGCAGCCAGAATTGCACCTAACCACTTAAATGTTTACATTAATCTGGCCAACCTGATACGAGCAAATGAGTCCCGACTGGAAGAAGCGGATCAGCTGTACCGACAAGCAATAAGCATGAGACCCGACTTCAAGCAGGCTTACATTAGCAGGTGTTGTAGTTCGCTTTAGGCTTTCACTATAGAAGATTAAAGCTGCATCTGCATATACTTTTAAGCTATTTTGACTAATTTGGCTTTTTTTCTTCTTCTAGTAAATCTTAGTTAGCAACCAAGAGCATAGAAAAATAGCCTGTTTTAGACTAACAAATTTAATTGATTTGATTTTAAATTGACAAGGGAGTCCATAACTTATAATAGCAAACTTAGGTTTATTTATACAAAAGGAAGGGTAAGAAAAGCTCCTCTTTAATTTCATTTGCTTCTCATCACCAAATTCATTTTTATTTAAAACAGCTGAAATTTACCTTTTATAATTCTTAATTGTTACAAAATAATTAAGTTATTTTTACAAGAAGTTATTCTTAATTATTATTAGAATAATTAAGAAATCATTGTATAATTAAGAAATCATTATATATAAAATTAATTAAATAATTATATAATATCAAACTCTCAAGAGCTTTCTTAAATTAATACTGAGAGTTGACTGGTTATTGTTACTACAAAGAAACTTTTTAGTTGCCAGTAAAAAAATTTTTGTAATACATGTTAGAACTTGATATATTTTCTCATGTAAATCTTATCATTTGTATTGTACCTGAGGAAAATTTTATGTTAAACTTTGTTTTGCAGCGTGCTCCAGAAACCTAATTATAATTTGTCACATTGTTTATATGGGGAAAATGCATTCAGAATTTAAGTTTTTGAAATAAAATCCGTTCATAGCTGGAAGCTGTCTTTGTTCAGCCTTATCTAGTACTTGCTGAAATTCACTGTTTACTGGGGTTGTTTCTATAAATAAAACCTGTCATATGTTAATTTATAAAGAATTAATAATCTCTGCATTTAAAAAAAGCACATTTGGGGGCTTCCCTGGTGGCGCAGTGGTTGAGAGTCCGCCTGCCGATGCAGGGGACACGGGTTCGTGCCCTGGTCCGGGAAGATGCCACATGCCGCGGAGCGGCTGAGCCCGTGAGCCATGGCCGCTGAGCCTGTGCGTCCGGAGCCTGTGCTCCGCGACGGGAAAGGCCACAACAGTGAGAGGCCCGCGTACCGCAAAAAACAAACAAACAAACAAACAAAAATCACATTTTGGACACTTACTCTAGTAATTGGGAATATTAGTAGTTTATTTGATTTCATGCCTATGCTAATACTTCAGAAAAGAGTAGTATTATAATAAAAATAACTCATTTCAGTACTTAAACTGATTTTCACATATGTAAAAATGACTTTTTTAAGCTCTGTAACAGAAAATGTAACCATATTAGAATGATTTGTAAAATGATTTTCAAACTGTGATCATTAGTTTCAGATGTTTTCCTCAAAAGTATCTACAGGTGGCACTATTGCCCTTCCATCCTACCAGATCGGCTTTTTAAATTCCTTTTCTTTTTAATGAATGGTCATTTTATAAGAATACATCGAAGAAAACTAAATAATTTTAAGGGGTAAACAATTTCTAATGTTCTGCTTTTTGTATAGTGAGACATTGCTAACAGATTTGAATACTGGAATTTCCCCATCACTACTGTATTTATATTCCTTTTTCAAATGCTGTTACTTCATCTCCTGACAAATTGATCTCCCACTCTAGTTGCTATCATTTTTCTGATGTAGACTAGTCTGCTGTTTTTCAAGACATATTCAAAGAATATATTTTCTCTGTTCCCCATTCTTTGATACCTCCCGACATTTTACCCTCTAGCGTCAGACATGCTTTTTCCTTCTTTAAAAATATTTGAAAGCATATCAAGCCAAATTTGCTAAACTAATATGTTCAGGTTTAAGGACAGTTTGTTATTTTTAAAAGAAAATTTTAAGAACCTAAGTTGAAAGGAAAGCTGTGAATATGTGGAAAAGCTTAAAACTTGTGAAAAATAATATCTATAGACTGACATGGTAATGTAAGTAAAGCTTGTGTTTGATTTTTCCACAGAGGAGAATTGCTTTTAAAAATGAATAAACCTGTCAAAGCAAAAGAAGCATATCTTAAAGCACTAGAGCTGGACAAAAACAATGCAGATCTTTGGTACAACTTGGCGATTGTTCATATTGAACTTAAAGAACCAAATGAAGCCCTAAAAAACTTTAATCATGCTTTAGAACTGAATCCAAAGCATAAGCTAGCGTTATTCAATTCTGCTATATTAATGCAAGAATCAGGTATGTTTTTTCAAAATATTTCTATATTTAAACATATTCTAGTTTGAAATATAATAAAACCTAATGTTACCCCCAGCAAACATTTTATGAATGGATGGTTTATATCAAAACTGCATAAATAATTTATAAGAAGAATATTTAAAATACTTGAAGTAAACTTTTCAAGTAATAGCCTTAACATATATGACAATACTAATTGTTAGTTCTTCTGGTATATGTTAAAACTGATTTTTCAGACAGTCTATTAAGCAATACCATATTTATCTATTTCGTCAATTTATTCATGGAAATATATCTTATGTATAAATATCATACTATTCAAATAATCTGAGTTTGTAAAAATTTTTAGGTAATTATTTCTAGGGAGCCAAGAGCATTATATGTTTTAGGCAAAATAGTATTCTATTTTCTCTTGATTTATAAGTCCAAATACTTTTGATATCATTTTGTATCCAGTTTTACTGTTTTCTGAGACGTTACTATAATTTCCTATATTTTCTATAAATTTAGCAAAACTAAATTATTCATCACAATAAATCAGGATCTTTGATATATTCCAGTACTACTTCAGAAGGCAATATATATAGTTTATAATCTTAATTTTTATGTTTGGAAAAATCTCTATATTAATTGTTAGATACTTTTATAAAACTTTTGCAAAAAATGTAAGAATCATATTTTCTAGCTAAAGAGGGCCTTTGAGTTTGTTTTTGCCAGTCATCTGTTTTGTAGATTAGAGAGTCAGGACCAAACAGATGTAATAACTACTCTAACTTTACATGGCTAGGTTAGTAACTAGTCCAAGACAAGAAGTTAAGCCTACTGATTTATTTCACATTTTCTATATTTATCATATTGTCACATAAAAGAATAGAGGAAGATCTTTATGCCTGTTATTCAAAAAAGCTAAGTTTAGGAAACTAATGTTTTTGTAAAGTTAGCTAACCTTAGTAATCATGAAAGGTGCCCATTATCTGACACAAGATTGCACCCTGTGGTGTGTAGTTTTAGAAATTGAATTTGTTTGTATTTATTTGCGATAGAAATTATCTCAATAAATATTTGTTTCCTAAAACCTGATTTATATTTATAGGCTTTATATATAATGGTGTATTTTTACCTTTGGAAAGTCCTAAAAAATTTTAAATAACATACAAAAAATATCTGATTTAATAAGACTAGAACAGTTTGTTTATCCAGTCATAGTTACTATTTACTGATCATTTTTTATATATCTCATGTAATTATTAGAAAATTCAGTAGGTTAAGCCAGACAAGTTAATAATTTGTTTAGTGCATAAAGTCATAATATTAACAGAATCAAGATTGAACATATGTTTTTGTTGGCAAATCCCATGCCTCTTCCTCTTAATTCTCTATTCTTCATCTACTCCCAGTTAGAATCTAAACTATCAGGAGGTATTTCATCCCTTTTAGTTTGTTTTTTTTTGTTTATTTGTTTTCGTGTTTTTTTAAATTTTATTTATTTTTTATACAGCAGGTTCTTATTAGTTATCTATTTTATACATATTAGTGTATACATATGAATCCCAATATCCCAATTCATCCCACAACCACCAACCCCCAACTTGCCCCCCTTGGTGTCCATACATTTTTCTCTACATCTCTGTCTCTATTTCTGCCTTGCAAACCGGTTCATCTGTACCATTTTTCTAGATTCCACATATATGCGTTAATATACGATATTTGTTTTTCTCTTTCTGACTTCACTCTGTATGACAGTCTCTAGGTCCATCCACGTCTCTACAAATGACCCAATTTCATTCCTTATAATGGCTGAGTAATATTCCATTGTATATATGTAGCACATCTTCTTTATCCATTTGCCCGCCGATGGGCATTTAGGTTGCTTCCATGACCTGGCTATTGTAAATAGTGGTGCAGTGAACATTGGGGCACATGTGTCTTTTTGAATTATGGTTTTCTCTGGGTAAATGCCCAGTAGTGGGATTGCTGGGTCACATGGTAATTCTATTTTTAGTTTTTTAAGGAACCTCCATACTGTTCTCCATAGTGGCTGTATCAATTTACATTCCCACCAACAGTGCAAGAGAGTTCCCTTTTCTGCACACCCTCTCCAGCATTTGTTGTTTGTAGATTTTCTGATGATGCCCGCTCTAACCGGTGTGAGATGATACCTCATTGTAGTTTTGATTTGTATTGCTCTAATAATTAGTGATGTTGAGCAGCTTTTCATGTGCCTCTTGGCCATCTGTATGTCTTCTTTGGAGAGATGTCTATTTAGGTCTTCTGCCCATTTTTTGAATGGGTTGTTTGTTTTTTTGATATTGAGCTGCATGAGCTGTTTATATATTTTGGAGATTAATCCTTTGTCTGTTGATTCATTGGCAAATATTTTCTCCCATTCTGAAGGTTGTCTTTTCATTTTGTTTATAGTTTCCTTTGCTGTGCAAAAGCTTTTAAGTTTCATTAAGTCCCATTTGTTTATTTTTGTTTTTATTTACATTACTCTAGGAGGTGGGTCAAAAAAGATCTTGCTGTGATTTATGTCAAAGAGTGTTCTTCCTATGTTTTCCTCTGAGAGTTTTATCATGTCCAGCCTTAAATTTAGGTCTCTAATCCATTTTGAGTTTATTCTTGTGTATGGTGTTAGGGAGTGTTCTAATTTCATTCTTTTACGTGTAGCTGTCCAGTTTTCCCAGCACCACTTATTGAAGAGACTGTCTTTTCGCCATTGTATATCCTTGCCTCCTTTGTCATAGATTAGTTGACCATATATGTGTGGGTTTATCTCTCAGCTTTCTATCCTGTTCCACTGATCTATATTTCTGTTTTTGTGACAGTACCATATTGTCTTGATTATTGTAGCTTTGTAATATAGTCTGAAGTCAGGGAGTCTGATTCCTCCAGCTCTGTTTTTTTCCCTCAAGATTGCTTTGGCTCCCCTTTTAGTTTTTGAGGCACTTTTACTGCTTTAAAGGAAAGGAAATGAGCTACCATTTCAGTGCTTCATACACATCTTTCCTATGAAAACGTTGAGATTTTTTTCTTTCTGCTTTTTAATTTAGGCACAGCAATTAGTTGTTTTGATGCTGTCTTTTTGTAATCTAGATAAATACTTGCAAGTGGCTTTGTTCCTCAGACTTATTCATTTGCTCATAATATAATTTTTTTTCTTTTTAAATTCTTAGGTGAGGTTAAACTCAGACCTGAAGCTAGAAAACGACTTCTTAGCTATGTAAATGAGGAGCCACTAGATGCTAATGGTTATTTCAATCTGGGAATGCTTGCCATGGATGACAAAAAGGACACTGAAGCAGAGATGTGGATGAAGAAAGCCATAAAATTACAAGCCGATTTCAGAAGTGCTCTGTTTAATCTGGCTCTCCTGTATTCTCAGACTGCAAAGGAATTAATGGCTTTGCCAGTCTTGGAAGAGTTACTCAGATACTATCCTGATCATATCAAAGGTCTCATTTTAAAAGGAGACATTCTGATGAATCAAAAGAAAGATATACTTGGAGCAAAAAAATGTTTTGAAAAGATTTTGGAGATGGATCCAAGCAATGTGCAAGGAAAACACAATCTTTGTGTTGTTTATTTTGAAGAGAAGGACTTATTAAAAGCTGAAAGATGCCTGGTTGAAACATTGGCATTAGCACCACATGAAGAATATATTCAACGCCATTTGAATATAGTCAGGGATAAAATTTCTTCATCTAGTTTTGTAGAACAGCCAGTATTCCCAGCTGGTAAGACTTCAGGTATAGAAGGAGACAAAATTCCAACTGAAAATGAAAAAGAAATCAAAAGTAAACCCAGACCCATACAGATAATAAAAACAAGTGATAATAAAAGTCAGTTGAAATCCAACAAACAGCTAGGAAAAAATACGGACAAAGAAACTCCCCACAAAACAACAAAAGAGGTCAAAGAAATTGAGAAGAAAAGAGTTGCTGCTTTAAAAAGACTAGAGGAGATTGAACGTATTTTAAATGGTGAATAGCATTACCCTTTATCACGTGACAGTGGTTTCAAAGAACTTCAGTCTATATCATGTGATTACTTATACTGAGAGCTTTGAAAAGTAGCAAGGATACTAACAGTCTATCATAAGCTGCCTCTACGTAGGATCAAAATAAGATTTTCATTAAAGACCCTTTCATTACCCCAGGGTATGTATTATATATGACAGTAGTTTTTAGAGTTTTGGTGACTATAGCAGAAATTACAGGTGGCAAGTTTGTATCTTTTCTTATAGAAGGAAGATTCTTTCAGCAGAATAATATTGATTACCCTCAGTTAAAAATAATCTGAGGCCTGAATGGTAATCCCATGGGGGCAAATCCAACATGTGCTGGTTTATTCTGTGAATTCATATTTATTAGCTAACTTCATTTTTCCTTTAACTATTGGAATTTGACTATGGATTTGAAAACACTTACTGAACACATTCTTTTTCTTCAGTAACCTATTTCCAAGGGACTTTGCACTACAAAAGAGTACTGGCTGGCTTCTTTTATGTTGTATTCTTTTTTTGATTTTTAGAAGGAACGCCAGATTAAACATTTTAAAATAAGTCGTATGACATGTTAGCTTAAGAATGTATTTTCATAACTGTGTGCTTGTCCTTAACTTCACTCTAAATGGCAATTTTTAATCAGGTAAAGTTTTAATTCATATACGCACACACATTTCTGATGGTGCTCATATATACTGTATTTTCATTTTTTTACGTACTGAGGGTTTCACAGCATGAACCACATAATCATGACTCTTTGACTTTTATTTCCCAAACTATTCCTGTTTATTAGGGTCATAGTCATATTGAGAAGTCCCAGTAGCTATAACTTGATTGAACTTTTGAGCTAAAACAAAGTAAGTTTCTCTTTCATCTTAGTGTTATCTTTCTAGTGTTACTTGAATTTTACGTTTGTTTCCAAAAACATACCTTAATTATTCTTAGATACCTTAGATACCTAAATTGAGTTCTGTTTAACTGAAGGCAAAACAATGTGACAAAGTTTATTTTTAAACACTAAGTTCTTGATATCTTATGGTGTATATTTTTATTAAATATTTATTTTGACTACTGAGCTTCCACAAAAAATTTAACGCTGTTGGGGCTTCCCTGGTGGTGCAGTGGTTGAGAGTCTGCCTGCCGATGCAGGGGACACGGGTTCGTGCCCCAGTCTGGGAAGATCCCACATGCTGCGGAGTGGCTAGGCCCCTGAACCATGGCCACTGAGCCTGCGCGTCCGGAGCCTGTGCTCCACAACGGGAGAGGCCGCAACAGTGAGAGGCCCGCGTACCGCAAAAAAAAAAAAAAAAAAATTTAACGCTGTTTTAAGTCCATCAAGTATGGAAAATAAATTGCTATTGCATTTTTCTATACATGCATATATGATGGTTTAATCAAAATTTCGTCATTTTTGGCCTGTTGTCCAGATAGAAAAAAGATAATTAGCCTAGTATATGATTAATAAATTAGTCAGTTGGTTTTAGCAAATTTAAACCTGAAAAATGTTAGTTTGAAGAGTAGATACAAATCAAATTTATAAAATCTGACTTTTTTCATGAGTTAAAATGCATTTTATAATACCTAATAAAGTTGGCTTTAATTTAAAATGTTAAAGCTCAAGCTGTCATCTTGGGATAGTAACTAATTTCTTATTATGTAGCATTTCAAAAACTATATTTCTCTTCCTTTGAAATAATTTCTAATTATGTTTCAAAAACCATATTCCTGTAACTTTTTTCTTAAAGGGATGTTTTATAAATAGGTCATAAGAAATATGGTCTGCATTAAATACCTACTCTTACTAGGTTCTCTGAGGCACTGTCATAGATTATTTTTTAGGCAATATAAAGCAAGCACTGACATCAATGGTGGTACATTTTTGATTCATTAAAGCAATACCTAATTTCAGTTTTTAAATTATAGCTTTGTGACTCCAGATGTAAGGTGGGGAATACCTCATATACCATGACTTGAAAAATGAAACTGTTATTGTTACATTCTCTACATATATCTTGAGAAGAAGTTTGAGTTTGATCTATTCTGTTATAATATCATCTGAGGATAGTTCAAAAAAGTAGAAGGAAATCTTTTATGACAGAAGACCGTAATAAAAGCTTTGAGTAATAATTTAATAAAACTATGTAACTATTCAAAAGATAAAAGATATATTAATATCCAATGATTTTTATAGAAAAAAATTTTCTCCACATTAGCACTTAGAACAGTACCTGTCATGTAGGAAGTGCTCATATTTTGAATAATTTATTTAAATCAAATTCACCCTGAGTAATCAATAACTTTTCCAAATCAGTTGTTTCTCAACCCTCATTTCATATTAGAATCATCTAGACCCCACCCTACAACAATTAAATCTGAATTTCTTATGGGTAGAGTCATGCTTCAGCTTTTCCAAAGGCTCTCTAATTTGTAGTCAGGGTTAGGGACCACTGCTCTAAATTCGTTCAAGAAACTCCTCATCTCTCCTGTGTTAACTTTTAAATTGGTGACATAATCCAATTAATTTTGATGTTTTAACTTCCATTAAGGAATATGCTCTTCTGATACCTAGTATTTATTCCATCTTAAATTCCATCAAGCTTGCTTATGTGTGAGGTGATTATTTTTTCTCTTTAAATTCATAATATAAATTTTATTCAAGCTGTTCAGGTGAAGAAGGCAATGGATAGTTTTTCCTTTGAAGCTGCCATTTGGGGGAAATGGAGGGTAGGGACATTTTAGCCCAATTCACTAACCTGTGTTTCACAGTTGTGAGCATCTGTAAGTTTGAAAAAGAAAGCTTATCATAGGTTTATGTACTAATAAGGGGATGTAGTTTTAGTTCTTGCTGCTTTACAAAAGAAACTTTTTCTCATATTGCTCCTATATGTGTGTCCTTACTAACATTCAGAATTGGGAATTTTATCTTACAATAATTATTCCAGTAAGTAATTTTATGAAGTTGATGACTTGGAGGATAAAGCAAATATGTTTGCAATTTTGTCTTTACTTTTATGTAGATGTTTGGTATGTGAATTACTCAGTTCTATTAAAACCTCATGCCTTTCATCTAATTTGAGCTCTCAACTTCATGTTACAGAATGCTTCTTTAAGGATGCTTTAATGAAAAATATTATGAAAATATATAGATTTGTATGTCAGTTTATACTTCAGAAATCCATATATTTGTCATATTTATTTTTTTAAAAACCTAGTTGCATGACTAAATCGTATTTAAAATGAAAACTCAAATATATCTGGTACCTTTGTCTAGAGTTTTATCTGTTGGAAGATGTCAGCCATCCATGTTAAGTTTTCATAAAATAGTTGATAATTGTATGCATTTTATATTACTGTGGTGTCTGTGTACCATATTTCTAAATATTCAGTATTAAATTGATACTTTTTAAAACCTTATCCTGAATTGCCTTTTAGTGTTAAAATGAAAAATATAATAGCATATCAAGAAATTTCTGCCCCCACAAAGAAAGAAGAGCTGGCCAGTAGTTTTATAAGCAATGACCTGAGAAAGATACATGTTAACTTAGTTCCTAACAGTGATACATTTCCAACCCAGAGTGACAGAAACTCAGTTAAGAAAATGAGACAAACTCAAATGTGAAATTTTATAGACATACACAGTTGGAAGTCAGTGTAGTGAAATAATTAGGAGTTTAAGTTACTTGGAGTACTTGGATTCACATACTGGTACCACCCTTGCTTGTATAACTTAGGGGAAGTTGTTTAAACTATGTGTCCTCAGTTTCCCCATCTGCAGGTTGGGGAAAATACTTTCCTCATAAAGTTATTAAAAGGGGATATATACATATATATGTAACATGTATGTTACATATTTATGTGTATGTATTATAATGGATATATATATCCTATTATAACAAATTGGCAAGTATCTTTTTCTTTTAAAAATTTATTTATCTTTATACAGCAGGTTCTTATTAGTTATCCATTTTATACATATTAGTGTATATATGTCAATCCCAATTGCCCAATTCATCCCACCACCACCCCCCCAACCCCTGCTTTCCACCCTTGATGTCCATATGTTTGTTCTCTGCATCTGTGTCTCAATTTCTGCCCTGCAAACTGGCTCATCTGTACCATTTTTCTAGGTTCCACATATATGCATTAATATACGATATTTGTTTTTCTCTTTCTGACTTACTTCACTCTGTATCACAGTCTCTAGATCCATCCACGTCTCTACAAATGACCCAATTTCGTTCCTTTTTATGGCTGAGTAATATTCCATTGTATATATGTACCACATCTTTTTTTGTTAAGTATCTTTATAAATAGTGCATGCTCAGCCATGCACGCTGTAAATATCCTTTACCAAAAGTTTTGACCACAAGCATAATTAACATCACTCAGTGAACTGTGATTTTTTTAAGCCATGAAAATTATTTGATGTGATTGGCTTAATTGTTTTTATGTGTCTCCAAGAACAAACAGTTTTAACAGCTGTAACCAGTGGTACTGATGGATCCATCCAATGTTGTCTTATTATATTTGATTATAGTTTGATAGTATTGCATTGTCATACTAGAAAAGCTAAAGAAACAAAATATTTTTAGTTTTGCTGAAGACTAGCCTTATTTATGGACAGCTTTCCAACAAGCAATTAACTTTTATCAGGTATCGTCTGTTTCAGGAACATGACAGTATGTTTACATGTCAAGTTGTGTTTAATTCTATGACATTTCTAAATTGGTTTGTTTAAATAAATTCAGCAAATGGAAATATGTTATATATTTATATTAAATATAATAGATTTAAATTGCTTAGGACAGTTCTTGGCACATAGTAAATAATAGATGTTAGTTATTAATGTAATTGCAAAATTTGGGCTTGCATTTGATGTATATTATTTGATTTATATATGTGTTAGCAGAAGTAATGTCAATGATGGTCATGATAGCAAACAAATTATTAGAAATATAATATGAATGCTTGTTCCATAGGCATCAGGTACATAAATAACCTAAAATAATATATATTTATTAAATATTAAGTATAAATTTAATAAATTATTAAAATGCACAA